GTGCGGAGATATATATATATATATATATATATATATATATATATATATATATATATATACAAAGAGAGAGAGAGAGAGAGAGAGAGAGAGAGAGAGAGAGAGAGATGGAAAACAAGCAAGCTGACCTTAATTTCGCGTCGGAAAAACGCGAGGGAGCTCGCGGCGTCGCGGCGAGCGGAGCCGCGCCGGTTAGGGGCACGTGTGCACGTTGCACATTGCACATTGCGCACGTATGCGGGCGCGTGCAAGCGCCGCGCAGCGCGCGCTACGAACGGGGCGTGCTTTCGATACTAATGAGCCAGATTAGATGAACCGTTAGATCCGCGCCGCGATATAAATCACCGGTAAGAGTACGTGCGTTAAGCTTTTTCTGTTCCAATTACTTATGCACACGCTGCGTGTCCTGGATTCTTCTTTCTCGGCCTTACGAGATTATGCGCCCCAGCTTCGGAGATATTTTCCACCCCGATCACTATGCTCGTCTTTCGCCGTGATATTTCTACTTTGGACTTGTCGTTTCTTGGATTTTTTTGATACTAGACGGATTTTTGGTAACTTTTTTCTGCTTGGACGCTCGCGACTTTACGCTGTTTATCTCGTGGAGTTGCAGTATTCTTTAAAATTGTTACTCTCTTTACTCTATTTTTTTTAGACAGTTAGGCTTTAAAGCACGAAACGAGAAATTGGATGGTAGGATGTTATGGTTAGCACGTTAAGCGTCCAACGATAGATCAACCCCAAAATTTCAACCCCAATCCTAAAACTATCAAAGTCGTTTAAGTAATAAATTAAAGTCGTGCAATTTACTATAGTAATTATTGGTATAATCTATTCTAGTGTATCGGAATCGAAATGAATTTCAAAAGTTAGTTTGTGATCAATGCGGCACGCGATGCATTAAATTGACAAGATGAATAGAGAGATAAATGATGCAAAAATTGGAAGAAGCAATGTACAACCTTATTTAGAAAAAAGTCGCATTCCAACAACCTTGGTACTTCTTTATAGAAATATTTGCTATCAAGAAAGTATCTCAAATCCCTTTCGACGTCTCTCATCGATTTCATGTAATACTTCTAGGTAAACGAAAACTTTCGTCGAGTCACGTACAAAAAGTTGTAATTCAATACAGTTTTGTCCGATTCGAAAATTACAGCAACATAATTCTTTTATGCTCGCCGTCTGGAGGATTGCTGAGGTATGTATTTCTTATAGGGTAGGTATTTTTACGAGATACTCATTTTCGGATATTTTTACGATATTCTATATGGATCGTCTGTTAAACCACCAGATTACGGGGTCCAACGGTTGCCAATTCGTGGAGATGGGCGAACAGACGCGAGACTGAAACCGCTTCTGACAGCAGACGAATTGTTTAGGGTCGCTCGCTTAGAATCGTACGCGAGGGATACCTGGAGCTATCGAAGATCTCGGGGAACAGTCGGAAGCACAATGGTTCGAACGATCATCCGTGATAGAAAAAAGAAAAGAGAAAAAAGATCGGCCGGCTCGAATTCCAGCGGAGCTTCAATGCCTGTATTTTCTCTCGTAAAAAAGACCGTAAATCCCTGCATTGAAAACATAAAAAAGGGCGATGAGGGGGCCGATAGCGTGGACCTAGTTGACCGAGCCAGAAAAATTCAGAAAATCGATGGACAGAGAACGAAACCGGACAGCCAGGAATGCTCGAGCTCTTTTACATCTCGCCAAATTAAGAAAGACAATAAAAACAACAGCCAGTTTTCATAAATATCCGCCAATGAGAAGAAACGGTATTTCGGTTTTTCACTACTTTTTTCAGTAATCCGCGGATCGCCGTCTTTATCTCATATCTATCCTCGTTTGCGTTAACCAGTTAGCTGTCGCAATCTCGTTGAAAAGTGTACAAGTTACTGTTATTATACTGTGCATGTTTGATCATCTTCATATTTTGTTTAACACTATAAACCTACCACGGTCAAAATGACCGATTTTTTATTCTACGATACTACAAACTTTGGAGACTTCTTCTCGTGGAAAATGATTGAATAAATTATATTATTGAAACAAGTCTCATAATTAAAACTTTACAAAATCCAAATGAATTCTATCTTTTCACTGTTATGAGTCAATGCACGTCGTCATTACTGCTCGGTTGGTTTAGTATTGAATACGCCACTTTTATAAAATGCATAATTTAATAAAGAATATCAAAGCATTTATCCTTCTTAATCAGTCAGCCGTTTTTGACGAGCATCCTCGTCACGAAGAAATAGCAACGTCTCGTGTAACGACGAGCGTACTCGCTCAAACACAGCTAACTGGTTAANCAGCGGAGCTTCAATGCCTGTATTTTCTCTCGTAAAAAAGACCGTAAATCCCTGCATTGAAAACATAAAAAAGGGCGATGAGGGGGCCGATAGCGTGGACCTAGTTGACCGAGCCAGAAAAATTCAGAAAATCGATGGACAGAGAACGAAACCGGACAGCCAGGAATGCTCGAGCTCTTTTACATCTCGCCAAATTAAGAAAGACAATAAAAACAACAGCCAGTTTTCATAAATATCCGCCAATGAGAAGAAACGGTATTTCGGTTTTTCACTACTTTTTTCAGTAATCCGCGGATCGCCGTCTTTATCTCATATCTATCCTCGTTTGCGTTAACCAGTTAGCTGTCGCAATCTCGTTGAAAAGTGTACAAGTTACTGTTATTATACTGTGCATGTTTGATCATCTTCATATTTTGTTTAACACTATAAACCTACCACGGTCAAAATGACCGATTTTTTATTCTACGATACTACAAACTTTGGAGACTTCTTCTCGTGGAAAATGATTGAATAAATTATATTATTGAAACAAGTCTCATAATTAAAACTTTACAAAATCCAAATGAATTCTATCTTTTCACTGTTATGAGTCAATGCACGTCGTCATTACTGCTCGGTTGGTTTAGTATTGAATACGCCACTTTTATAAAATGCATAATTTAATAAAGAATATCAAAGCATTTATCCTTCTTAATCAGTCAGCCGTTTTTGACGAGCATCCTCGTCACGAAGAAATAGCAACGTCTCGTGTAACGACGAGCGTACTCGCTCAAACACAGCTAACTGGTTAAAGGGCCCTTTGACCCGTTCGCGTTTAAAGAAATAAATAAAATAAAGTATCACGCTACATCCCCTTCGATTTTCAATCTCCGAGTTTCCAATACATAATCCCGTGTAAGACAGAAAATATCCGCGACGTTTAAACAGATTCTCGTCTGCGACGGATTAATGAAGCCTCGTTATTGGTTTAACGCTTCGAAGCGCCGCCGGCAATCAGTATTAACTGTAAAATAAGTATAGGCGACTTTCTTAAGGCCTCGTAAGTCTACAAGCTCTTAATTAGTAGATTTGGGTCGAACACTTCAACAGCGTGGTCTACTTTTACGTAAGTCCAAATGCAGTTATGGCGGTCTCCGAGGTGTTCCAAGTTACTCTGTCTCGGATCGAACAAATCTTAAATTACCACTCAGACAACTGGATAAATTAATTTGTCAATCGCGTCCTGCCATTCCAAATTGAAACGGGTCAAACGTTTCAACGGTCCACGTTTATGCAAGCTCAAAAATTGTTGCTCCGAACAATAGGCGACGCGATGGTACACAAATTACAAATTACTCTACTAAATGGACGACTCGATAGATTAATTTGTCAATCGCGTGCTACTATTTCTAATCGATAGAAGTCAAACGCTTCAACGGCATGGTCTACGTTTACAAAAATCTAAATGCAGTTATGAACACCTCCTAAATATTCGACAGAACACGAATTAAAAATTATTCTACCACACAAATGAGTCCATAAAATAGTTGTCAATCGCGTCTGCTACGATTCTTGATTAAAACAGGCGACACGCTTCAGCAGTGTGGCCTGCGTTTGCAATTTAAATGCAGTTATGGGGCTCTCGGCTTCCAAACATGCCATAACGTACAAATTACAAGTTATTTTACGACACGAACGTAACTCTTTCGTAAATGGAAAATTATTATGTAGTTTGATTCATTGTAGTTCAATACGTATAATTGATAGTTTTTATGTATATATCCTTATTAACTAAAAAACTTGAGATAATTCAAATGATTCTTTGGAATCTGTTAGAATGAATTTTTTTGCGGTACAAAATGTTGTTCTTATTACTGCGTAAAATCCACCGATAGCTGCAAATTTTTGCGAATACCTCACTTCAACTGTCCGAAAGCCATAATCAACGTTCTGCTTCGCACAACATCAGACCCTGTGCTAGCAAGCCGCAAGGGTTAAGCAATGAAAAAGAAAGTCGAAATCAATAATGACGTCATCACTTGACAGAAACGATACGCGCATTTACGAAAGATGTTTCATTCCGTTACGTGTCGATAAGAAAGTTCTCAAGCCATAATGATTTTCCTTCCATTTTTCGAAGGGATCGGCCACTGTGCGTCGCGACGATAGGGGTTGGGGCGGTTTGCGACGTTAAGGGGTCAGTCGATCACACCCCCGGGACCGCCGGCGCGAGATTTCCGGCACACCCTGTATAAGGAGACGCCGGAGGCCGAGCACACGATCGGGCTGATGACATTTAAAAGTGCGACGGGAAGGTATCGACCGGCGGAAAAGAGCGAGGGAGAGGCGAGAGAGGTTCGAGAGGGAGAGACGGCGGCGGCGAGGCGAAACGGGAGCGAGGGAGACCGACCGTCGACCCAGACGAGAAAACTGCAGTGAAAGCCCGACTCACATTCTGGGCCAGACGGAAGAAACACGAGGCAGACGGTGTAACGGCCTCCCTCTGTCTCGTTCCTATCGATTGTTCCGTCTCGATTCGCCTCACGGCTGGCTGGCCGCGTCCGCGCCGACACGCTCGTTTTTCCTATTTTTCTTCCCTTCCTGTCCCCCCTCGGGCCACCGCCGCGACTTTCGCGCTCTCCGACGAGAGGACGAGGGCCGAATCCGCGATTATGCGAACCGCGATGCGATGCCACCCGGAATCACGCTGACGGACCAAGGGGGTGAATCATGACTGCGTGCGAACGAGCCTGGCCCACTGATGGACTATCCGGTTTTCCTGGAAACGTTCCCTGCAAGAATTCCTTTACACTGCAAGGGTTAATTAATCCCTTGACTTACGATTCGATTTCGAAGAAACGTACGTGTGCGGACAATTCGATTTGGCGCATCTCAATGCGGGGAGCTGTTGCAAAATAAACCTGAAATATTTCTCTTTTCATTTAACCCTTTCAGTGCCGAACAAAGATACATCGTTGTTGGCTACGTTTGAGGAAACATTGTTCGCTTAATACTTTCAACAAATAACACAGTTTCATTCTTTATTCCTTCTGCCGTTTTGAACTTTTGAATTATCAGGTTTTGCAACATTTTTGGAATTTCATTTATTTATATAAATGTGGATAGAACAGATTTTAACAAAGTAATGCTAATATTAAATAAAAATTGGAAACCATCCTTCTTTAAGTTGCAACGACATGGCGAAAGAGATTTTTCACACAAATGAAATTATTGTTTTATAAATTCTGTAATAAAACCCGAAACCGCTGTGTCGATATTCCTGCGTAACGTGAAAATTAGAAACAATTGCGAAGAGACGTCTAATCGATAGAAGAGATGTTTAAAAGTAACGGGAAAAGGAATGTGTATAAATGTGTGTTCGCCCAATATCGTTCGTTTTTTTCGAGGAAGAAAGCGTACGAAGAGACTCGGCGATCGATCGATTAATCTCGACATCAGAAAGAAGGATGAGGCTTAAGTTCTTCTCGGAGACATCGAAGCCAATGGAATTTTGAAGAACAACGGGCCCGATGAGCGAGCGGCGAGGTCGCCGCGAAATAAATTGGCATTACGGAGTGCGACGATCGTGATAAACGTTCGCGGAGGAGGGGGAAAGGATCTCGTTGTTTCAGAAAGATCGAGCCGCGTCTTTCGAGAATTTATTAATAGAAAAAATTACACGGGCGTATATCTTATCAAGTTATTGTTGCCGCGGACTGAAAGGGCTTTGATTGCGTGGATGGCAGACAACGCTCGGGCCAGATAACAGCCGTAGAAACGGAGGAGAGGCGAGCGGCCGCGATAACACGTGGGCCGAGCGATTAAACGATTAAAAATTGACGTCTGGCGGATATCAAGTTTGCCCCATTTTCCATGGAGTTCGAAAAGGCGAACCGGCCGATGACGTCGATAGTCCTTGGTCGCGGTTAATTAGCGACACTATCGACGCCCTGAATATCCGACGCCGCGTTCGATTCGCGCACGAATCGAATTGCGAACGAGAACTCTAATTCGATTATAAGCCTAATGTTTTTAATATCGCTTCGAATAATTCTTTTTTATTTTCACGATTACCGTTAATTGTTTCGGTCGGCGAAGTTACGCAGTTGTGTCGCGCGTTGCGGCTAAAAGCAGTTTCTCGTTAAACAAATTGAACACAGCCATTCGATTCGAAAAATGTCTCGCGGGTAAAGGGAACGCGCAGAGCGATCGGAAATGTACAGGGTGAACCGGAAGTATGGTTGCGTTCTGCTGGAATTGATTTTCTTTTTTCATCGATCGAACCACTGTTTTGGGGGCGTTGACCGGATCGTTCAATGACCCACAATTTTTATTTCTCTCCACGTCGAATGAATTATTTATCATCTTAGTATTTATATATGTTCTGCTTTATTTAGACGGAGGGTGCATAAAATGTACTCGTGCAACTAGGCGAAAGAATTTTCGAGCAACATTTTAATTTTAACGCCGGTATTTAACGCGGACGGCACTAATATAATACGAATTATTCATAAAATTAAAGATTAAGCGCTAAATGTGCTTGGCAAGCTGCAAAATTATAATTGCATTTAGAAGTGCAGCTTTTCAATTTCATGAATGCGAACTAAATATAGTCTCTAACATCGCCAGCATTAATACTAAACCTACCGAGCACTACGAGTGATTGACGTGTGTTCTTCTATAAGAATAA